AATTTACTAACAATAACTAGTAATCTACTGTGCATATACAAAAAATACCCGACAAAGAGTATAAGATATATATAATATTATATCTGAAATAAGAAAACCGAAAAACCCATTCTTCAACCCAAAAGAATATTCTCTCTAAATCAACTTTTACAACTTTTCAATACTACCCACATATTTTATAACTTTGCAAATTAAACCACACTATTATTTTCAATTCAATTTGGACTTTATGTAATAAATAATTATAAAGTAATAATCATATATATAATAAAATCAGAGAAATAAATAGTCATTAAAAATTAAAATTTAAAAATTACAACACACAATATAATATTAAAAATTACAACGCACAAAATGATAAATTAAAAATTACAACACACAAGATAAAATTAAAAATTACAACGCACAAGATGAGAAATTAAAAATTACAACAGACAAAATAAAATTAAAAATTACAACGCACAAGATGAGAAATTAAAAATTACAACAATCAAGTAGACATAGATAGTCTTTCAAGTCTCAGAATTTGTGAATTCCTCCCACAGATGATCAATTAGTGCATTTCGAAGTGCAATGTGATCATCTTTATTTCTATTTTTTTTTTTTTGTACCTAGATATGAATTCTTCAAATCGAGTACTTTCATCTACTGCCATTTCGACCTCCGGCGGCGGCGTTTCCATTTCAGTTTCGATTGGTGCACTTAGGTCACATTCATCCTCGACAATCATGTTATGCAAAATTATGCATGTGGTCATGATATATCATGTAGCACTTCTTTTCGCCAATAATGTACTGGTCCTGCTACAATGCCAAAACGTGATTGAAGAACTCCAAATGCACGTTCAACGTATTTTCTGCATGCTTCTTGTTTCGTTGCAAAATATCTTTTTTTCGGACCACGTGGCTCATGAATTGTTTGCACAATGGTAGACCATTTTGGATATATGCTATCAGCTAAATAATAACCCATGTTGTATTCTTTTCCTTGAATTATATAATGAGCTGGAGGAGCAATACCTTGGGTTAGATCCGAGAAAAGATGAGATGATTCTAGAACGTTGATATCGTTGTTGGAGCCTGGCAAACCAAAATAAGCATGCCATATCCATAGATCATAATCTGCTACAGCTTCAAGAATGATCGTAGGCTTTCCACTACGACCAGCATATTGGCCAGCCCACGCTGTAGGACAATTTTTCCACTTCCAATGCATGCAATCTAAACTCCCCAACATTCCTGGAAAACCACGTTGTTGACCAATATATAGAAGCCTGGAAATATCATCAGATGTGGGTCTTCGCAGGTATCGCTCGCCAAATACCTCAACTGTCGCTCGACAGAACTTTTTCATACATTCAATTGCAGTAGACTCACCAATTTTGACATACTCGTCTGTAGCATCTGCTGGAACGCCGTATGACAACATACGAAAGACAGCAATTATTTTTTGTATTGGAGATAAATCAAGTCTGCCAGCTCAATCCACTCGTTGTTGAAAGTAATGATCATGATCTTTGACTGCATCGACAATTCGAAGGAACAGCGAGCGAGACATTCTGTATCTTCTACGAAACATGGTCTCGTTATACAATGGATTTTCTGAGAAATAATCATTGTATAACCTACGATCAGCAGCCTCTCGATCACGATTGATAACAATATGCCCAGGAACAGAACCTCCATGAGAGGCTTCTTGGTTTTGTTGATTGAGAAGGTGTTGAATGATGATGTTGTTATTAGCGATAACATGGGATATCACTGCTTGTTTTTTACGAAGAACAGTCATAATTAGTATATGATCATCTTCAGAATCAGATGAAGAAGATGACGAATTGCCAAAATTAAAATTCATTGTAGAAATGTGGGATTGAGAAATATGATAAGATGTTTGAAGAGATTCAAGCGTGTGAAGGATTTAGCATATGTCATGTTCTTATAGTAGTGAATTTGAAAGGTGTAGTAAACTTTATAGGGAGTGGTCATTTTTGGGTCAGAAGCATTGAGAGGTGTGGGAAACACTGCAGTGAAATGTCATTCGAGTCAGAACATGGAGAAGTGTGATCAACTTTGCAGAGCCTGTTCATTTTCTGGTCAAAGCATTGAGAGGTGTGAGGAACATTGCAGTGATATGTCATTTTCGAGTCAGAACTTGGAGAAGTGTGTCACCTTTGCAGAGAGTGTTCATTTTCGGGTCAAAGCAATTGAGAGGTATGGGGAACATTACAGTGATATGTCATTTTCGAGTCAGAACTTGGAGAAGCGTGTCACCTTTGCAGAGAGTGGTCATTTTCGGGTCAAAGCATTGAGAGGTGTGGGGAACACTGCAGTGAAATGTCATTTTCGAGTCAGAACATGGAGAAACGTGGTCACCTTTGCAGAGCGTGTTCGTTTTCGGGTCAAAGCATTCAGAGGTGTGGGGAACATTGCAGTGATATGTCATTTTCGAGTCAGAACTTGGAGAAGTGTGTTACCTTTGCAGCGAGTGTTCATTTTCGGGTCAAAGCAATTGAGAGGTGTGGGGAACATTGCAGTGATATGTCATTTTCGAGTCAGAACTTGGAGAAGCGTGTCACCTTTGCAGAGAGTGCTCATTTTCGGGTCAGAAGCATTGAGAGGTGTGGGGAACACTGCAGTGATATGTCATTTTCGAGTCAGAACATGGAGAAGCGTGTCACCTTTACAGAGGGTGTTCATTTCGGGTTAAACCATTGAGAGGGGAGAGACTCATTCACTATAAAAGAAGACATCATATTGAGAGGGGAGAGACTCATTCACTACATCCTAACATTTATATTCTATACACTAAACATTTATCACATCTAGCTTCTTGTAAGAATGTCGATCCATTCATCTTCTTACAACCACGATGAAGATATTCTTTTATGTCAGGTTTATATGGATATTTCTCAGGACCCAATTATTGGGGTATACCAATCATCTGACCGATTTTGGTCACGTATAAAAAAAACTTTCAATGAACGAAGACTTGAGCATTGGGAGGTTCGTAGCCAGAGATCTATGTAAGCACGGATTCAAACAATCGAAAAAGCAGCCAAGAGACTCCATGCATGCATAAAACCAGTAGAAGTTATGCATCAAAGTGGTGCTTCAAATGAAGATACAATGAGTATTAAAATCTTATTATATTTTTTATTTATTAAATTTATTATTTATATTAGCTATGTTTGATTGTTTATTGGAAAATTGTAGATGCTCAAAGCAAAAGTGTTGTTCAAAGAAGATTTCAAATTCAAATCCGGATGGAAATACGACCATGTATGGAATATTATTAAAAAATTTGAAAATTTTCAAGATGGAGCTTCGAGGAGTAAGAAAAAACAATCTGGTCGTTATCCATCTTCGGAGTCAGAAAATCCAACTCCTGAGTCTGCCCGACAAGAATCCCCAGGTATTTTTTCATTTTCTCTAAATTTAAGCGACTCGGATCAATTTGCTAGTGGTTCTCCATCTGAAAGACCTATCGGGGTGAAGAAAGCCAAACTAAAAAGAAAGGAAAATGATGATTCATCGTCGCTCATCAATGCTATGAAGGAAGAAAACAAAAGACTTGTTGAGGAGATGAAAAATACAAACGATCAAATAAAACATCAATTAGAAATACGCGACAGATCTTACGCTTTAAAAGAAATGAGGGAAGAAAATAGAATTCTACTTCAAGATGTCAGTTCCATAGCAGATCCTAGAGTTCGAGCATACGTTGAAGCTGAAAAAGCACGAATCTTGGAGAAAAGAGCTCAACAAGCCCAATCGGATCCATTTCCAACCAATACATTTGGCCAATTTTTCAATGATCTTGGAGGAAGCGGTGCCAACTTACCAGATTACTAAATTCTCGTACTTGTTTTTAGTTTGTGGCTTTATGATGTATTTTTATTTTAGTACTGTGTGATGTTGTATTTCATTTCGGCACTTGTTATTTAAATGGTTTTCTTTAAATCGTAATGTATCACGTTTTAATGTTATTTGTTGTTGTTATTTAATGTTAGTGTTTTCTTTTTTTATTAAATAAAAATACCATAAATGATATGTATATTTTGTATTATTATTGTGAAATATATAGAATTAAATGATAAATATAATATTTATTATTTTAAAAATTATACTATTTAATTTTTATGAGATAAAGAATTTTTAGTATTTTACATTAAGTTTACTATTTTGATAAATATATAATTAATATTCATTAATTTAATCATCATAGGAAAAAAAAAAAAAGATAGAAAAATTTGCGTCTTGGAGGAGGAGAGAGAAGGCAAAAACGCAAATTGCCACTGCGTTTGCTGTTCGGTTGGAGGAGATTCCACTACAAAAATTGAGTTTTGGCGTTCGGTTGGAGAAGGTCTTATGCATTATTCAATCAATTTTGAAAAATTAATTCAAAAGTGATTATCAAAAATATAGATGATTTAAATGATATATATATATATATATATGTGTGTGTGTGTGTGTGTGTGTGTGTGTGTGTAGATCTCAATTTATTTATCTCAACTTATTTTTCCACCCAATGCACCAAAAAAAACATTTTGGAATATTATGTCTCATATCAACTTTTATAACATTTCAATACTATCAACGTCCAGGATGGGTCTTATCTTTTTCTGTGGTAGCTGCCTTGGCTGGTATTTGCCTCTTCTGTGGTAGCTTGAAGTTTCAACAGATTCATGTTGCTTTTAGTTGATTTAGTGTTTTCTGTTTTCTGATTTTATCATGTCTAGGATAGCTTTTATCTTTTTAGCATTTGGCAGGTTAGTTTTGCTGTTGTATTCTAAAGGATGCTGGTTGTAGTATCCTTAGCTATTTGTATGTATTATTGGGACTAGTGTGTCCCGCGTTGTAAGACTTTTTATTGTTATGAGAATGAATCTATCGTTTCGAAAAAAAAAAATACTATCAACGTATTTAACAACAATACAAATACGATCCAATACTACTTTATATTCGTTTTTAAAAAAAATCCACGAAACCAAAATTAAAATACAAATGTGATGATCATGCATTTTATATCACAAATTCTTGTATGAGCCAGCCTAACTGCTAGGTGGGTTGGCCCGTTATACTTATTTTTAAACAAAATTCATATTCGTTAGAGTATAACATTTTACTTTGAAAGTATTAATATCTATTGAATAAATATGATTAATTAACCGGTAGACTGACTTTAATTGATTTTACACATTTCTTTTTCAAATATCTTTCATTTCTTGAATTAGCCACTTAATTTTTTTTTCCTTCTTAATTTTC